TTTCATGTTTTGTCGACGTTCAAAGACATTCTGAATAGAATGAGACAAAATATGGAATAAGTATGTGTGTGTGTAGGTGAGCTGATTTTCAACTTTTGTCTACGTTTTCTAGTAAACGACTAGATTTCAAAATTTTAAAAACATTCTATGTAACTTAATAAGGACTCGCGTTGATTTGTTTTGCACAATGATCGACCAAGCCGTTTGTTTGTAATCGACAGAAAAGTAAAAAAAAAATCGTCTGCATTTTAGTCTACAGTCTACATTTTAGTCTGCAAGAGAATTAGTTGGTAATCGCGTTTATTAGTTTTTGGTAAAGATCAGGCGGTCCGTTTCTTCGTAATTAAATGATGAAATTTTGTATTTCGTTAGATTTTGTAGCCTGGAATATTATACTAAAATATCATAGGCCTACGATAAGCAGTTGTGAATTATAAAAATTCATCACAGTTTCAATTTTTTCTCGCGCTCAAGCGATTCTAATCAGAATCTATGCCAAAGCATTTGCAATGCGTTAATTGCAAATGTACAAATCAATTTATACAATTATAGTTATTATAAGTATATTTAAAAAAACTCAATTGATTATTGTTTGTGAAAGCGAAAATTTTATTTTTTAAAATAACAGTAGATCATTTTAACTAAATAACTAAATCTCACTTGTAATATATAGATTATGCATAGGTATCGGAAAGTCCATGCAACTTTCTTCAAGTCAAAATGCCACCTACTTCTAGTTTGATTTATTATGATACCAATTTGGTGATAATTTATATTACTCATTGGCTAATCGGACAGTTAACTAATAATAACATGTATTATATATATTATTTTTTTACGCGAAATTCTAATATTCTGCGAATCGCACCTTTATCAAAGTGCTCACTGTTGTGAATAAACTCTATGAAATCAGTCAGGCCCACCGATTCGCGGTGTTTTAACCCACGTTATTGGACATTTTTTCTTGTAAAAGCCTTTTAGAATTTAGATCAATCGGTTTTGCTATGTATTTATGTCTAAATTTAGATCGCAATTTATAGTTCGACCATAATTATAAAAAAAAACTAGTACCTACATGTGAAGTTATAGATTATCAAAAGTATCTATAAAATACGGCCAAAAAAGTCTAGAATATTTATTAAATATAAATTTCCATCTATTTGATTTTTCCTGTTCAAAAGCGTGTTATCCCATTTTAAATTCAAAAGCCTGCACAATTTATTCCAAATTACCTCCATTATTGCCAATTTGCGAACATCAAATATATGCTTTTAAATCATTCTCTCAATCAGTATAAATTTTCACGGGTTCCTGAATAATTTAAATGGACATTTTAACATGGCGCATACTCTCTGGTCGATATGTAAACATTATTGTACAAACATTAGAGAAAAATATTAACCCGACCACAAAAACCAACTTTATATACATATAGACGGTCAAATTAAAAATCAATACTTCGGGATATCGGTGTTTACTAAGAGATGTAGTAAATTGACGGTTTATTTCTTTCTATTTTTGTCAAAAAACACTGTTATTTATAAATGAATTATATATTATGATAATAATAATATTATCGGTTGTTCATATTATTTTAATTCAATTTTGGATTAGTAAGAATTAAGTATTTGTTATTTAATTCTAGAATATGGAGTGCCCAAATTGTTTTATGTAATTTAATTCATTAGTTTGACGGGATTGGCTATTTTGTGTCTAATATACATATACAAATCAATTCTTTGGTTTTGTGGTTGTACATCGATTTAGTATACAAGGATACATAGCAATTTTTGAAAATGAAAAAATTAGCAAATAATAGTTTAAACTTGAAATTATAAATATTTAGTGAATATATTGGAATTCGTTATTATTATACTTGTAATTAGTAATTATTTTTTTATGCAAACATTTCCTGTTTTTGGAAAGTATTTTTAAAATTATTAGCACTCAATTTGTTGATAACAAATAAATAATTAAATGACAAAATTGCCTATTAACTAGCGAAGACAAAATGTAACAAATATAGGAAACAAAAATTTTCAAATTTATATTTGAAACAAAAATTGTTCTGGTCTTGAAGAAATCTCTTTCACTGATTATATTTTTATCTACGATTTCGGGAACACGGTGCAACCGATTTGAATGAATTAAAAAACATTCGATTTTTATTGATGGGGAGACATTCTGATTAGTTTACAATGGTGGGTCCAACCGTTACGAAGATAAGGGATCAAAAAGTGCAAAAAATTCAATTCAGTTTTTGAGAGAACGGAGCGTCCTATTGGAATGATTCAAAAATCATTTCCCATGTATTAACGGAGTGAAGAACTGATTATTATTTTAATCCTAAAGATTTAATAAAAAAGTTAAAAAAAGTTTATTTAGTGGTCAAAAATGATTATTAGACATATGTACATCAGAATATCAGATATATTATAAAGATTTTAATAACAAGTACAAATTTTGTTCACATTTCTCTTGGTGTATGTATCCATGTCTAAGGTGTAATACCCCTGTGTTATGTTATATGTGTACAACTCCAAAGAACGTTGTCAGTAGAAAAACATACATCGTTAAATTCGCGATCAAACAAGTGTAGGCCAATTTGAAACGATATTATCCAAGGCCTTGTTTGTGGTTTGTATAAAAACGTACAGAGAGGAAAAGCGAACTCTAAAAATATATTTTTCGCGAAGTTCAGGAAAAGTTATACACTGTTGGTTGTAAGTCTATTCTTAGATATGATTTTTTGCTTATATTACAACTAAATTATGGTAATGTAAGATAATTGACTCTAATTCTGCAATCAAATGTAAAAGTATCTTGAGGAGGAAGGCGACATAATGTAAAAGGTACGCGAAATCCCACACACATTGAGTTCTTTTATAATAAAACAACAGGACAAGCTTTTCTTCTAAAAATACTCATAAAATGCTTTAATATATAAATGAATTACAAGGAGGATCTCAGGTTTACTCCTATGGAAATTTGGTGAAAGTTTGCATGGTGATTAAGTTTATAGTAAAAGGAATCTATTTGAAATATTATATGCTTATGAGAACTAGTGATCATGAAAATTGATCAAAGTTTAGAATAATAGAGCTACATGCATGCAAATGTGCAAGATAGACACAGAAGTGACATATCACGAGCATGTAGCCCACTTTTCAGATTTTGCTGGATTTGCCATCCTAAATTATAAGGTTGTCAAATATCTCCCTTCCGCTTTTTTGTATTATAAACCAAGAGCAAAAAAGCGGAAGGGAGATATTTGACAACCTAATATATAATTGTAGTGGATTTAGAGCAAGTTAGATGTCTTTCCAAAATATGTGACAATGAACTCTCATTGTGGGAATTGAAGATTTTGTCTGGCTACAAATATAATGTAAACTAATAGTTGCAAGGTCTAAAAGTTCGGTGGCAATTTATTAGACATATTAAATGTGCTCTTTAAATTAGAGTCGATTCACAGCAAGTTAGTTTATTTCCAAAAGTATATAGTAAAATCTCAATAGTTCATTCTGTTTGTCAGCTCAAATTAGCCATTTCCATATCACTGCAGATGCAATTTAGAATTTCGTCCTATTTTAGGCAAGTCAGCCGCACTCTCTTTATTTCCTGGACCGCTCCTCTTATCGATCTTACTGGCACGCCGAGTGCGCTCGTGTTGGAACGCCGATAGATGTTCATTTCTTATTTTTCAAGAAAAATGAGAAAATTCCTTGGTTTTTCCTCTAATGGTTCTTGCCAGCAGCACGTCGATTCCCTTAAAACTTCTCTAGATTTTTTTTCATGCCATAGTTCTTTTGTGGAACGTTTTTGCTTCGTGTCGCACTCAGCTTTTCACCACGTCGGGAAATAGTTTGGTTTTGATCGTAAGTCCATATATGTTGAGATCACATATAAAGATAGAGATATATGGAGTTTTGAGTACCAAACCTATAATCTTATATATATATATATATATATATATATATATATATATATATATTTGTTGCTTCGTAAATTTATAATTCAAACCCTTACTTAACCCACTATCACGAATTCCGGATTATATTATACGCGATGAATAAATAACTAAAGTTGCATTTTTTATATCAAGTTGAATTATGTTGGAATAATGCAGTCGGATTTATTATAAGCTCAAATGATTTTTACTATTTTTCTAGAAAAATATTTACAAAATCTGATATAGCAAGCCGAGCACTTTGGCGTGATGTATTAAGTGCCAGTTTCAATATTGCGCTAAAAGTTTTGATATAATCTTCTTATATCAAAGAGGAAATTGTTTGTTGTTTTATATAGTTTCTCTAGAATGAAAGAATTTAATATTGATATAAGAAAACAATTTTCTTTCTATTAAAAGAGATATTTATGTTACTAAAATTTTCTTGATTATACAGTCATTTGATCATAGTGAAATTACTTTGGTGATTTTTCAGTCACTGAGTACTAGCAAAAATCAAGTCATTTTTGGTTTTCATTTTGGTACTCGATTTTTTTTAATATTGTACGATTGTGTTGTACCATTTCACAAATCTGATTAAATGCGCCAATTTTTTTATGAAACTTGCCGACATACTTTAGTGCATTGATTTTTCAAAAACTAAAGTGCAACTCTCTCTCGACCAATTTTGAAATTTCATAGTTCAAATAAAGGCGCGATTCATGAAAACTTGGGGCAATTATTTTTGACTGTTTTAAATGTTATTTTCAAATACTGATCTAGAGCTTAAATGAACTAAATCAATTAAAAAAACTATCACAATAATCGAGAAATTGTTACATTTTCACCAAAGCTATAGGTTGCACTTATTAAAAGCTCATAATTTTTAGAGTACGTGCAATATTTCTTTTTATAATTTTTTGCTTGATATTATCTCGTTTCGGCTTGACGTTCACTTTTGGGACACCCTTTATATATATATATATATATATATATATATATAATGTATATGATGGTATTATTATGATTAATTATCTCTTATCCTTTCCAGACAAGTGCGGTGGAAATGACATGGGTCATTGGCGACCATCACGCCGCTCCCGGAAGCGGCGAGTTGACGGTGCTCAAGGGGCAACAGGTGCAGGTTCTGGACGTCTCCTGTCCGACCAGACCAGACCACTGCCTGGTGCGTATGCCGACACAGGGCGTGGAGCGCGGAGGACCGGTTCCTGAAGGAATAGTGCCTCTGGCGGTTCTAAAACAACCGCCAATCACCACCGGAGGGCAGAAGAATACTTCGCCGGCTAGGAAACCGTTGGGAGTTTTGGACCAGGAACTAGGTTAGTGGATTGCCGATTATTTTTTATAAAAATATAAATTTGACCCAACTTGGTTGGATTTAAAATTGTTTTTCCATTTGTTTCTTCTATTCTTAATAATCAGAATCGCCAAAAATTCGAAAAATATTTTTGCGAAAATAATGAAATCAGTAATTGGATCAATCAAGCTCAGTTGATTGGATTTGGATTTTATGCCATTAATATACTGCATTGCATTAAACATCTAAAAACTGTTATCAAGCCATGTTGCAATTTATTCAAATAATTTAAACATATAATAATATACATTTATACTAGTTTAAATATTACCGGCACTTAAACATTTCACACAGTGTCATAATCAAATGATTTATGATTTTCATATCTCTTTGTCCATGAAAACTAAATGAACATTGAACTTGGTTAAAAATTAGATCTAATAATATCACTGCTTGTTCAAATATATTCTATTGGAAACTACGACATTAAATGTAGAGTAGTATATGTTATGAATGGTTTAAAGTTTAAACGATATAAACGGTTTTACATTTATGGGAATAATTCAATTCTAGGGAATGAATAAGTTTTTATAGTCAGAGGATTATTCTTGTATTTCTGCGTTTAACTTTCGAATAAGAACTTGGAATTGAAGATTGAAAGTGGTTATGACATTAAATAGTTTATATATATATATATATATATATATATATATATACATATATATATATATATATCAATTACAATATATATTCAACTGTATTTTTTAAAAGAGGGCCTTTCAAAGTTGACGAATTTTGAAAATTTTTAATTTACAGTTCATCAGAAAGTTTAATTCTTGGAAACTAGAGGTCATTATTTTTGACTGTGATCTTAAAAATGTTGAACAAAATTAAAAAAAAATCAACCACAATAAACGATGAATGGTCACATTTTCACTAATGCTCTTCTAATCTTGCACCTGAAAGCTCATAATTTTTAAACCACATGAGTCAATTTTTTATTATTTTTTATGGCAATTATGATCAATGCTGTCATCTCGTTTGGGCTTGATCTTGAGTTCTGGGACACCCTGTACATATTTTTACGCGTGTGTGTGGCTATTTATATTGATAATGTATAATAATTGCTTTGAGCATTAATTATATCTCGTTTTATCGAAACAAAACCACTCCAATGAGATCTTTCCTCAATGAACCTACGCAAATATAAAATACAATATAACTCCTCGAAAGAAAGAAAATCGCGCGCTTTCCCTCTATTGTCATCAGCATCACAACATCTGGCCGCTCTTTGAGAGAGATCCGTCTCGGATTTTCATCGCTTTTCCCGACCTATTCGTAAGTCGGGTTTTCGCCGATCAATATCTCCCGCCACTTTCCGTCCGACTTACCGCGTCGCTCCCGCATTTCTCCATCGATGACGTACGCGCTTTTCCGGGCAATCCAACGTCATCCTTTGCGCCAGTAGCCAGAATCTCTCTCTTTGACCTTGGGAAA